CCTGTGTGGATCATCTTATGGGAAATAAGATTACCTCTTTGAGCAAAATTCTTTCCACATTCTATGCATTTAAATGGTTTTTCTCCTGTGTGGATCTTTTTGTGACTTTTAAGATCACTGTTCCGAGCAAAGGTCTTTCCACACTCCATGCATTTATACAGTTTCTCCCCTGTGTGGATCATCTTATGGGAAACAAGATGACATTTTTGAGTGAAGGTCTTTCCACACTCCATGCATTTAAATGGTTTCTCCCCTGTGTGGATGATCTTATGGGAAATAAGATTACCTTTTTGAGCAAAGGTCTTTCCACACTCTGTGCATTTATATGGTTTCTCTCCTGTGTGGATCATCTTATGGGAAATGAGATTACATCTATAAGCAAAGGTCTTTCCACATTCTGTGCATTTAAATGGCTTCTCCCCTGAATGGATCTTTTTGTGTCTTCTAAATCCACTGCCATGAGTAAATGCCTTTCCACATTCCATGCATTTAAACGGCTTCTCCCCTGTGTGGATCATTTTATGGGAAATAAGATGACCTCTTTGAGCAAAGGTCTTTCCACACTCCATGCATTTATACGGCTTGTCCCCTGTGTGGATCATCCTATGGAAAATAAGACAAACACTTTGAGCAAAGGTCTTTCCACACTCCATGCATTTATATGGCTTCTCTCCTGCATGGATCTTTTTGTGCCTTTTAAGATTACTGTCCTGAGCAAAGGTCTTTCCACACTCTATGCATTTATACGGCTTCTCTCCTGTGTGGATCTTCTTGTGGACAGCAAGTCTACTGCTCAGAGCAAAGGTCTTTCCACACTCTATGCATTCATATGGTTTCTCCCCTGTGTGGATCATTTTATGGATAGTAAGTTGCCTGCTTGTTCTAAAATATTTTCCACATTCCAAACATTTATAAGTCCTCCCTTTTGTGTCAATCGCTTTTTGAGATGTAAGGAAGTTACTCCCAAGAGAAAGAATGAATGTCCCATTGTAACAAGATAAATAGTGTTCATCTGCTTGTACGTTAGCTTTGAATAGCTTCACACTGTTTCCAGTATATTCTTTCCTTATTTCCTCTTGTTGGGCAAGAATGTCTTGCATTGGAGCATCAATGGAAGATGAGCTTTCCTGATTCCAATTCTTTGACTGGTTTCTGTCATGGCTTTCGAATTCCATTTGAATTCCAAACTTCTCCGTTCCACCTTTAGCATTGATCACTTGGAACAGTTCACAAGAATCTTGATTCTCCTGCCCATTATTACCTTCAAAGCAAAAGGGAAATGAAAATGATAAAAACGTTAGAGAAAAAGATCACAATGTAGTAAGTCAAGTGAATTTCCTTCTGAATTTCTGCAAAATTCCATTAGGTTGCATGCCTACAGTGGTGTGGTATAGACATGATGATTTCTATATTCGTGAGTCGTGAAAGCTTGGAAAAGATCTAGAAAACATCTTTTTTTTTTACAATTATCTGTATGTATGCAAATCTCACTCAGAATCAGTTTTGAGTTAAGGAATAGAATAGCCTGATTCCCCCTTCCTTGTGGCATGTCTCCCCAGTCCTTGTTTTCATTAAACTAGACATACCCAATTCCAGCAACCATTCTTTATGTTTTAGACTCTAGTACCCTAAACATCATTGTTGCTCTTCTCTGCACTCTTTCTAGAGTCTCAACATCTTTTTTTACAATCGTGGCAACCAAAATTGGATGCAGTATTCCAAGTGTGGCCTTACTAAGGCATTATCAAGAGGTATTAACAATTCACGTGATCTTGATTCTATCCCTCTGCTTATGCAGCCTAGAACTGTGTTGGCTTTTTTGGCAGCTGCTGCACATTACTGGCTGATATTTAAATGGTTGTCCACTAGGACTCCAAGATCCCTCTTACAGTTATTACTATTGAGCAAGGTACCACGTATACTGTACCTGTGCATTTTTTTTGCCTATATGTAGAACCTTATTTTTTTTACCATTGAATTTCATAATAATCAGGGGAAACGATCAAGGAGAAATTAGGAGAAAACTTAAGATTTACTGGGGCACTGCAGTATTTTATACCTGTGTTCGTTTTAAAACTGAGGACTGCATGCGATCCAGGGCAAAACTCTTTGAAAACAAAGAGGCCTTTCCTCTCTTTTGCCCTGGACCTGCTGTAGGTCTTATTTAGCAGTGAACAGAGGCCTAAAGAACTGTGGTGCAAGATCACGTGAGATCAATAGTGCTAAATTTCCCACTACTGATCTCATGGATCTCTCACTACTCTTTTTTCTGCAAATGCACTGAAGTAGGCAAGGGAACCGACGGCTCGCCACATCGTCGCAAGGTACCATATTTTTCAGACTATAAGATGCACCTAGCTTTAGAGAAGCAAAACAAGAAAATAAAAGTTTTGGATCCCCACATCTCATTTTTGCCCTACCCGGCATCCAGAAGCACTCTCCGTGCCAAAAACGGTCCCATATTTGGCCTCCCAAACCCTTTGCGTGTTCCGTTCTCAGCCTCCCTGACGCCAGGAAGGGCAAAAATGGGACCCGCGGAGTACTCCAGAGACCAAAAGCGGGGCCATTTTTGCCCTACAGCGTGCATCTGGACATTAAGGAGGGCAATAATGGGATGCGCTGAGAGTTTGGGAGGCCAAAACCAGCCCTGAATTCGCTCTATAAGACACACAGACATTTCCACTCACTTTTTTGGAGGGAAAAAGTGCACCTTATACTCTGAAAAATACAGTAAGTCCATGCGAGATGGGATGGGGGAATAGGTAGGGCGAATAATGTGGCGCCTCTACTGTTATTCGTAAGTGTGAATAATGACTGTGGTGCCGCAACACTCATAATTTTGGGACTGGGTCTCAATACTTGGGGGAGGGCTGGTTGTAATTGGAATGTTCGGAAAGTGAACTGTCATAACTTGAGGATTACTTGCACCCTAGGATGCTCTGAATCACACTGCATGAGGCATTTGTTGTTGAATTGCATTGGGAGAGTGATCATACACGGACTTAACATGAAAGTTCTGTTCTTACACAATTTGGGGAGGTTCCCGGGGACAAATGATAACACAATCCTCTCACACGACCTCCAGAGGACACATAAAAGCACACCTCGTTCTTTTCAGCCTCCACAGAGAAGTTCAAATAGATATTGAAAAACATAAATAAGAAATGGCACAGAAAGGATCTAAGCAAAGAGACATGGACTCTTTCCTTCCTTGGAGCACGACAAGACCAGATCCTTTCCTTCTCCCTCCCAGGAGACAGTATCTGATTAGAGGTTTTTAAATTAAAAAAAAAAAAACTAATTATAATCTGTCTTCTTGAACTTTCTGATTGGGGACTAGAAAACTCTTACCCAGAGAGACCACGTTCCTATGGTTTTCAAGCATGACTTCCGAATGCAGCGCTTTCTGGTCAGCATCCAGCTGAGACCATTCCTCCTCAGAGAAATACACAGCCACCTCCTCGAAAGAAATCAAACACTCCTGAACCCGGGAAAAAGAACAGAAGAATTCTCAAGATCTGTTCATCTTCACCATTCATTTAGACAAGAGGATAGAAATCAAATTTGCACACAAGACTAGATGGACAGGAATATCAAAACTCCAGAAGATAAGCTCGAGATATAGAAGAATGGACAGATTGGGCCCCATCTAAGAAAACTAAATCGACAGTGAGAAATGTAAGCTTCTTCATTTAGGGAAGGAAACCCAAATGCACTGGCATAGAATAGGTGATACCTGGCTCAACAGTAGTAAGTGCAACAGGGATCTTGGAGTTCTAGTGGACAACTTAAACGAGTCAGCCCTATGCTACAGTTGCCCCCCCCGCCCCCCCACCCCAAAAAAACCGCAATAGAATCATAGGCCGCATTAAGAGGGATAGAATCAGGATGATATGAAGTGGTAGTACCACTTTATAATGCCTTGGTAAGGCCACACTTGGAATATTATATCCAATTTTCATTGCCTGATGTAAAAAAAGATCTTGAGACTCTAGCAAGAGTGCAGAGAAGAGGAACAAAAGTTATTAGTGGACTGGAGGGTAAAACGTATAAAGAACGGTTGCTGGAATTGGGTATGTCCAGTTTCATGAAAAAAAGGACTAGGGGAGACAAGATAGCAGAGTTCCAAGAAGCAACAGATGGAAACTATTAAGGAAAGAAACAACCTACAAGTAAAGAGAAATTTCCAGACAGTGAGAACAATTCATCAGTGGAATGACGCTTCAGAAATTGTGGGTGCTCCAACACTGGAGGTGTTTATGAAGAACTTGGACAGCCATTTATCTGAAATGTTATAGGGCTTCCTGTCTTAGCAGGGGGTTGGACTAGAAGATCTCCAAGATCCCTACCAGTATGTTATTCTATTCCATTGTTTCCAAATTCCTAAAGCAGAGATGTGCACTAAGTTAAATGGCCGTGCATCACAGAAGTCCTAATTTTAGATGAGAAAATAGGCAAATCTGAAAATTGCTTTCACTGAAGAAATATTTCGGGAAGTTTTATCAAGTTCATTGATTCTGCAAAACCTTCAGTGCCTTTCAGCAAAGTAATCCCACTTCTGGATCAACTGATCTATCGCTCTATCATTGATTGATCTAGTAGTCTGAGCCATTGGCCGAAAGGAAAAAAAGAAAGAGAGGTCATTGGGAAAGTCATTTCATAGGCTTTGCAAAGCGGGAATGTTTGATCTCCTAATCAAGGCACAAATCAGAGGATTGGAAATTATTTTCTAGCCCAAAGTATCATAATTACATGTTCAACATGGCCACTTTCTTTGGATTTTAATAGTCTGCTTTATCTTTTAATACGATTCACTTATTTTTGAACTACAGGTTATAAATAAGGCTTTTTAAAAATGGTAATGTGGCAATGTATTTGTTTTTCATTAGCTTTGCACAACTCCGAGTCAAAGAATTACCAAAAAAAAAGGAGGGGTTTCTATCAGTTCCTGTCACTGTGATACATTTATTCCTATTTCTGGAAGGACTTTTAAAAAATTGCTTCTACAAGTTGGACTTAAAAAAAATGGCTTCTACAAGTTGGAGGAAAACCAAGCAGAACAAGATAAGCAGAGGAAGCTATGCTGGCCAACAGCAACTTGAACCTGCTATTCTGCTCTCCATGTTGTAGAACAACACAAAAATAATCCAGGACAAAGAAGGGGGGAAACAAAACGAGAGAGCCCTCTGCACACCCTCTTTACTTCCCGAAGGGAGAATAGAAATCTAGTATCTTTTCCCTTTCTTACTTGATTTGGAGGTTCAACCGCTGTTTGATCTCCGTAATAAAAACCATAAAGCTCCATTCTTTGTGTCTCTGTAAGGAATAAATAATTTCCAAATGCATAATTAACAAAATAGGAGGAGGTATTTTATAGAAGAGAAGAGAGAGCGAAGGGAAGACAGGTGGGGAATCGGAAATCTTCCATTACCTCTTGAGGTGTCCTGACTTGGATCTTCCCAAGGGATCCTCCTGAAAAATAGTTCCTGAGGGGGATTTGATGGGTTCTTCTTTCCCTCAGGATCTCTGATCTCCACAGTGCAGCACTTCAAATAGGAGGAAGAAAGGAAGAAGCAGAATTAATGTAGGTCACACAACACAAAGTAGCTTCTTCTATTCAGAACACAACCTTAAACCCCTCAATATCGATCCGTGTGGCTGAATGAGAAAACAATGGAATAACGTCCTACAACAACTGGAGAATTGCCACTTATTATGAATGTGGGAGATGTTTGGGAAGGAGGGGTGAAGCATTCAAGCACTCTCTTTATTCCCTTTCGAGCTCCCTAAAGTCTCCCACCTGCCACTGGAGAGGCTCCTTCTGCTCCTCCGCCTGGCTTAGGAGGAAGCCTTCCGCCAGGGCCACCGCCTGGGAACTGGTCTCTGCTCCACACTCCCGCACCCAGCCCTCCATCTCTGGGGGAAGAAGGAACAGGAGATGCTCCAGAACCACCAGGTCCAACATCTGGGCTTTGCTGTGCTTTCCTGGGCTCAGCCATCGCCTGCACAAGTCATGGAGTCGGCTGCAAAGTCCTCGGGGACCCTCAGCCTCCCGGTATTGGATGGAGGTCCAGGGTGGAACTTCTGAAGGGAGGATGATTCCCTCCTGCAGGATCTTCTGCCAGGTTCTGGTCCAGCTCTCCTCACAGTTCCCAGGATGAAGAGCTGCGGGGCCTTTTCCCCTCCCCTCCTTGGTCAAAAGGGGTCTCTCCATCCTTCCTCTTTCCAGCAGAGCAGCTCCAAAGGGTTCCAGGGACTCGGGGGGGGGGGGGGAGGGTGTGTGTGTCTTCGGGGGCCTCTTCCTTCACGGGGCCATTTCTGGGGCTGCAGGGTAGATCCCTGCTGGTCCTTCCGCTCTCTTCCTTCCCCCGCCACCCCACGCAGAGGAAATCCTGGCTTGCAAAGGCTGCAGAGGTCTCCGAGATTGCGGATCTGGGAGGGAGAGAAAAACCGACGCCCAGGATCAGAAAGGGGGATTCAGCCCCTGGACCCCTTTCCCCTAATCTGCCCGCAGCTCAAGCGGCTCCTCCCGCAGTGCCCTGGGTCCCCAGAGCAGAGCCAGGAAGGAGGCAGCTGGAGAGGACGCCCCCCCTCCCCCTTCTTCCCTCTCTCTGGAGACAGGATCGGGCCCTTCGGGAGCTCTGTGCATATCCTGCCTTTTACTCCTCGACTGACTTCTTTCCTGGGCCTCCTCCAAGCCCACCCTCCCCTCCCCTCCTTCGCCTGAATTGGACGGCTGGGGAGGATGGGACCCGGGAAAACACCCCCCCCCCCTCACAGGGAACACATCTCGATATCCCGTCCTCCCCACACTCTCCCGCAGCCTCACCGCCTCCTGCGGCGGTCCAGGGGTTGAGGAGAGTGAGTGCGGCGTTCTAGAGAGGCAAGAGCTCAGTGATGTCACTTCCTTTCCCGCCTCCTCTGAGAAGACAGGCGTGGCGTTCGCCGTCCAGTGGCCCAATGGGGAAGTCGGGGGGTCTCCTTCCCCCTTCGCTTCCGGGGATCCGGCCCAGCGCCCCCACCAGCAGCACCAGAGGGAGTCCAGCAAAAGCCATGGATGCCGCCCCACAAGCGCCCCCAAAGAGAGGGGAGGAAGGCGCGGAGGCGGAATGGGGGGGGGGGTCTGAATTGGAGGGAGGGGGCGTTTTCCTCTAACTTCGGGATTTGGAGGGTCCATGAAAGCGGAAGGACGAATGGGAATTCTCCTTCTGACGCGTCATCGGTCTCCGGGCAGAGTCTCCCTTGACTACCCGATGGCGGAGGTAGTTCGGCGCGGAGAGCGTAGCGGAGAAAGTGGGAGGGGGATCTTTTCGGTCTTGGGGGGCCGCAGGTCAAGTGGGGGTTCAGGCCAGCCGTAGAGGGGAGTATGGACTTCCTTTTGCCCTCCCCCCATCCGGCGTGGAGTAGGGCTGCAGTGGATGGGAGAAGGGGAGGCGCAGCCCCACAGCCAACGAGAACTTGGGGGTCTCTTAGGCGGTTGATTGGGGAGTCCTTGGGCGCCTTCACACACACACACAACACATGGGATCATTGCCCTCTCCACCCCCAAATCTTCTGTCTTTGGTTCCTTTCCTGCAAATGGGCTGCCGGAGGACCTGTTATGCCCTCAGTGCTGGGGGAGGTGGTTTCTGAACAATAAGATTACTTATTTAATTATATAATCTATAGGATTACTTCTCCATCAAACGGGAAACTGCCGGGAGACCCTCCTGGCTCTGGGCTGAACCCAGGTGTGAGATTCAAATTTCTTAACAACTGGTTATGTGGTCATGGCTTGGTGGTCATGTGACTGGCTGGGTGGGCATGGCCAACTCGACCTCACTCACATCAAGGGGTGCTTCTCACCTGGCCTCTCGTAACCGTGGCGATGCTACAACCATCGTAAGTGTGAAAAATGGTCATAAGTCAGTTTTTTCAGTGTCATTGTAACTTTGAATGGTCACTAAATGAACTGTTGTAAATCACGGATTACCTGTACAAAAATATGAAAAGCTTCTTTGCTTGCAAAAAGCTGTCCTTAATACCAGTCATTAGATTAAAAATACCTGCAAGCCAGAGTTACTAGTCAGGCATGTTGCCAGAGCTCCTTGAGGAATTAAAATAGTTCAAATGCAATGGTAACTATCACCAGCCATCTCTTGCTCATAAAATCAAACTCTTTAGCAGAGAGGCCATTCAAGCTCCCCAGAAAGAGCACACCCAGGAGAAGCAATCCTTAGATCCATTTGCACCGCTTAAAGACACTAGCTGGTCTCACTCACCCCACAAAATATCCCAAGGAAATCATCCAGATTTAAGGAAAGATCATGTGCCCCCCAGAAAGGCAGTAAAAAAATCAGTGCCAAGCTTGCATCCTGCCTCTTGTAAGTCCACCCCAAAAGGACAGTGCCAGATATGCCCTCGCGCCCTTCTTGTCCTCTTCCTCCTCTCCTTTGTATTGGGCTGCCCCTCTAGCATAATCCTCCAGCTATTAAACTGGTATATTTAAGGTTCTTGATGATTGTCTCCATTTTTCATTCCAGTTTTTAAATTCTCGGCTCCAGCATTTTTGTCATGTATTCGGTATACCAGTTAAATATGGTATTGTATCTAATGGTATCTAATTTTCTGTTCTGTTCCTTCAATAAGTAGCTGTGGTGATGTGGTAAACCATTTCTAAAGGATATCTAGAATTTATTGTAGTTGACAATGTTAAAAGCCTTAATATTTCAATAAAGCAAAAATAGAAGTTTTTTTCCAGAACTTTCTTGCCTTTCTCATTATCTGCCCTCTTCTGAATCTTGCACTGTTACCTTTTCATAACAGATCATTGTACAGTATAATGAAGATGAATGACAGAAGTGATGAAACTGTTTACAGGAAGGGCCTGTTGATTAGGACCGCATTTTGGAGATTTATCATCTTCCTAAAGGCATACTTGATATCTAGCATTGTTTTTGGCACAAAATTCCTTCATTCAAGTTTTCAAAAGATTGCTTAAGCTAGTTTGCATTCTATTTAGCTGCTTTTATTGTTTCACCTGTTAATGTTTTAAATGATTTAATATTAATTCATTATCTATGCTAGCAGTGTAATCATAGAACAATGGAGTATAAATATCCAATACCACAAAACTTATTTCCAAACAATGAACATTATAAAACATACTGATGATGTGCTACTGTAAATTATCACACACTCTGATTGGCTTCTATAGTATGATTTACCACTTCTACATAAAAATAGTAGTTTTTAAAATTTGTTTTGGCATTTTAGGCCTTCATTTTTTGATCATTACTTTCTGTTAATGCCTCTGATAATTTCCAAAACACAACTTGCATTCTTTAAATAATAAGAAATAAATAGCCATTTTCTGAAATATATCTGACGTGTTACCTCTCTTCCTTTTTAAAAAAATAATGTTGAAAAATACTAATAAAATCTAAGTGACTTTGTCAGAGAAAAACACAAGCAAAATATCACCACAAATTATCAATGCCTCAATATTGGATTATTAGTTCCTAGGATAACAAATCATCCCTCTACCTAGACTAATTCTGCTGGATGTAGTCCCATTGATTCAATTGTGGTTGATGCAATAATCAAAGACTACAATACAAATAAATAAATACAGGAGGACGAGAATCAAAAAGCTTGAAATTTTATGATGTTGAACTAATATAGCAAACATATTTCCTAAGTTTGGATTTAGACACCTTTATAATGACGAAAATATATTTGATTTCTACAGTGTGGAATGATTTATCCTGCTATTGTTGTCTACGGAGTTTGCAAAATAAACTCGAAAAAGAATGGCCAGATATATCATACAGAGGGCTATCATTGAGGCTCTATCCGGGAAGGCAAGCACGGAGGCAGCACATCCCGGAACTGCGCCAGTGGTGGGGAGTTGGCTTTGGCGGCAGCAGCAAAAGTCAAAAGGGAAGCAGTGGGGGGAGGAGAGGAGAGCAACGGGAGAGAAAGCAACAGAAGTGGTGAAAAGAGCACAGCAAAGCAATAGATTGTGGTCAGCAGTGAGGCAGGGAAAGGAGTGCACAGCGCAGACAGCAAGACGGAGGAATGGGGTACAGTGGAGGGCGGGGGAACAGCTCCTGGGCAGCAGAGAAGCAGCCCAGTTGAATCCTGTTTCTCTCTGCTGCCCAGGAATCATTCGTGAAGTGAGGGGGACTTGGAGCAACAGGTGAGAGAAGCAGCCGCTGATCTGGCTGGAGCCAACAGGAGTCTCTCTCCACATGTTGCCCCGGTGAAAGGCAAGTGGTGGTGGTGGGGGAAAGGCAACCAGGGCTTGCACTTACCGGGGAGATCATAAGATCAGGCAGGGCTGCAGTGAAAGGCAGGCAGCATTGCTGGCCTGGCGGGCAGGCGAAAGCGGTCTGCAGGCATGTTGTGCATACACACAATGTTGCGCATGTGTGGTAAGGACTGACTGGGTAGGGGGCAGAGAAGCAGGCAGAGAGGGGCAGAGCCAACCAGAGTCCCAATTTACCAGTTCTCCAAACTACTGGGAACGTTAACTGATTCTATGGAACCAGTCTGAACCGGTAGAATCCCACCGCTGCTCCTAGCCCAGATGGATCCTTCCCCCAGACTCCCACCTTCCTGGGTGAATCCTCTGCTTGGCTATCTTGGGAAAGGCGCCGCTTCGCTTTACAGGAGAAAAATGCAATTTCCCTCCTGGAAACGCATGTCTCCCTGGCTCTAAACGTCTGGATGAACCGGCTCCTTCTGATTCCCACCTGTCGGCACCTCATGTCCAGGAACAGCTCTTTCTGTGGGTCAGGAATCAGGGTCCCCCTTTTCCTTGCAAACCTGGGGCCCTGAGGGAAGATCCCGGAATCCTGTTGGGCTGTTTCACCTCCGTTTTGAACTCCTTTCCTCGGAGAACTTCGACCTCTTTGCCATCATTTCCAGGCATTTCTCTCTCTCAGCAGGGAAAAATATCAAGTAACATTTCAGAAGAAGTTTTGCCAGTAGAAAAGTGCAGATATATTGTGGAATAATCCAGATAATCTCTTCTGTTGCAATAGGATAGAATAGAATTCTTTATTGGCCAAGTGTGATTGGACACACAAAGAATTTATCTTTGGTTCATAAGCTCTCAGTGTACATAAAGAGAAAAAAGTAAAATACATTCATCAAGAATCACAAGATACATCACTTAGTGATAGTCATAGGTTACTAATAAGCATATTAGGGAACAAATAAAACAATATACATTGTAAAGATATAAGCAACACGGTTATAGTCATAAGCTGGAAGAGATGGGTAATGGAAGGATGAGAAGAATTTACCAAGACTTTATAAAACGGTACTAATATTTCGTGTGATTTTGATTCTGTGCCTCCGTTGATACAATCAAGGATTATATTAGCTTGTTTGGCTGCTGCTGCATACACCTGACTCATGTTTAAGGGATCATCCATTTGGATTCCCGAGGTCCCTTTCACAGTTACTGGTTTTGAGCCAGGTTTCATATAACCTGTTTTTCCTGCCAAGGTGTAAAACCTTACTTTTCTCCACATTAAGTTTCAGTTTGTTGGATTCGACCTTGTCTTATTTGGATCAGAAAGGCAAAATATGCATACACATAAAAATCTATAGAGACATGGTGGTTAGAATAAAGTACTAGAGGCTAACTGTCCACAGCCAGGAGTTCGATCCTGACGTGCTCATGGTTGATTCAGTCTTTCATCCTTCTGAGGGCATTAAAATGAGGATCCAGATTGCTGGGGACTATATGCTGACTTTGTAAACTGCTCAGAGAGTGTGGTAAAGCATTGTGGAGTGGTATATAAGTCTAAGTGGAATTGCTATTGCTATATAGTTTCTCCTGAATGCGGATCCTTTTATGAGAAGAAGGTGACCATTCTGGGCAAAACTCTTTCCACATTTGTATGGCTTCTCCCCTGTGTGGCATCTTTTATGGGAAATAAGATTACATCTATGAGCGAAGGTCTTTCCACACTACATGCATTTAAATGGCTTCTCCCATGTGGATCCTTTGGTGGATAATAAATCCACTACTATAAGCAAAGGTCTTTCCACATTCCATGCATTTACAGAGCTTCTCCCGTGTGGATCCTTTCATGGGCAATCAGTGTACTGCTCTGAGTAAAGGTCTTTCCACACTCCATGCATTTATATGGTTTCTCCCCTGTGTGGATCCTTTCATGGGAAGTCAGTGTACTGCTCTGAGTAAAGGTCTTTCCACACTCCATGCATTTATATGGTTTCTCCCCTGTGTGGATCCTTTCATGGGAAGTAAGTGTATTGCTATGAGCAAAGGTCTTTCCACACTCTATGCATTTATATGGTTTCTCTCCTGAGTGGATCTTTTTGTGGCCACTAAGGCCACTTCTATAAGCAAAAGTCTTTCCACACTCTATGCATTTATACAGCTTCTCCCCTGTATGGATCCTTCCATGGGAAGTAAGCGTACTGCTATGAGCAAAGGTCTTTCCACACTCCATGCATTTATATGGCTTCTCCCCTGTGTGGATCATCTTATGGGAAATAAGATGACCTCTCCGAGCAAAAGTCTTTCCACACTCTATGCATTCATACAGCTTCTCCCCTGTGTGGATCTTTCCATGGGAAGTAAGTGTACTGCTATGAGCAAAGGTCTTTCCACACTCTATGCATTTATACAGCTTCTCCCCTGTGTGGATCATCTTATGGGAAATAAGATGACCTCTCCGAGCAAAGGTCTTTCCACACTCGGTGCATTTATATGGTTTCTCCCCTGTGTGGAACCTTTTATGGATAGTAAGTGTACTGCTCTGAGTAAAGGTCTTTCCACACTCCATGCATTTATACGGCTTCTCCCCTGTGTGGATCATCTTATGTGAAATAAGATTACCTCTCCGAGCAAAGGTCTTTCCACACTCCATGCATTTATATGGTTTCTCCCCTGTGTGGATTCTTTTATGGATAGTAAGTGTACTGCTCTGAGTAAAGGTCTTTCCACACTCTATGCATTTATATGGTTTCTCTCCTGTGTGGATCTTTTTGTGGCCACTAAGGCCACTTCTATAAGCAAAAGTCATTCCACATTCTGTGCATTTATACAGCTTCTCCCCTGTGTGGATCCTTCCATGGGAAGTAAGTGTACTGCTATGAGCAAAGGTTTTTCCACACTCCATGCATTTATATGGCTTCTCCCCTGTGTGGATTATCTTATGGGAAATAAGATGACCTCTCCGAGCAAAGGTCTTTCCACACTCCATGCATTTATATGGTTTCACTCCCAAGTGGATCCTTTTATGGATAGTAAGTTGCCTGCTTGTTCTAAAACATTTTCCACATTCCAAACATTTATAAGGCTTCTTTTTTGTGTCAATTACTTTTTGAGATGTAAGAAAGTTATTCCCAAGAGAAAGAATGAATGTCCCATTATAATTTTGTCCATTGTGTCTTTTTATAGCATCATCTCCTATGTTTTGAGTTAAATACTGTTCATTTACCTGTACTTTAGCTTTGATTAGATTTATACTTTTTTCAGTATATTTTTTCCTTATTTTCTCTTGTTGTGCAAGAAAGTCTTGCATCAGAGCATCAGTGGAAGATGAGCTTTCTTGGTTGCAATTCTTTGACTGGTTTCTCTCATAGCTTTCGAATTCTATTTGAATTCCAAACTTTTCCGTTCCATCTTTAGCATTGATCACTTGGAACAGTTCACAGGAATCTTGATTCTCCTGCCCAATATTACCTTCAAAGCAAAAGGGCAATTCAAATGATAACAAGGTTAGAGAAAAAGATCAAAGTGTTGAAAGTCAAGTGAATTTACTTATGAATTTGTCAGAAATTCCGTTAGATTGTATGTTTGCATGCCGACAGTGGTGTGATATGGATATGATAGTTGCTATATGAATGAGTCATGAAAGCTTTGATAATATCTAGAAAAACATCTCTTTCTTTACGATAATCTCTATATATGCTTATCTCACTCAGTTTTGAGTTAGGGAGTAATCAAGGGAAACATCCAAGGAGGAATTAGGAGAAAATGTAAGATTTATAGTGGGGCCTTAATTTCAGCAGAGACCTGTGAGAAATTAAACAATTTTCAAATAAGCTCCTTCTTCCCCAGTGTACCTTGGAGCAGCTGCTCCATGGTGTCTGTCTGGCAGGAGGGACCTCCGCTTGGTCCGTTCCTTGCTGAAGCCTCCCATTACCTTGTAAACACTCTTTGTGCTGAGACTGGAAATGTTGAGATGGTTCAAGAATGGCTATTTCGCTGCCCCAAAGTCTCATCAGCTTGCAAGGGCTCTACGGCCATAACTGGTACAGGTGCCGGTTCTTAGAGAACGGAGGCCTAAAGTACTTTAGTATGAGATCACACAAGCCCAATAGTGCAAGATCTCAGGCTACTAATCTGTGATCTCGCACTAAAGTACTTTAGGCCTGTGTTCTTTTAAGAACGGAGGACTTCACAAGATCCAGGAAAAAACTATTTGAAAACAGTGAGTGGACTGGGTCTCAAGTACTGGAGGAGGGCTGGTCATAACTTGACACGGTCGCTAACTGAACTGTCATAACTTGGGGATTACTAGAACCCTAGGATGCTCTGAGTCACACTGCATGAGGCCTTTGTTCTTGAATTGGATTTCATGGGCTCCCATGGGCTAAGTGTGAAACTTCTGTTCTCACACAATTTGGGGAGGTTTCAGAGGACAAATGACAACACACTCCTCTCACTTTTTCAAAGGCTGCTTCTCGGCACCTCCAGAGAACACATAAAAGCACATCACATTCTTTTCAGCCTCCACAGATAAGTTCAAATAGAAATGGGAAAATAAAGATAAGAAATGGCACAGAAAGCATCTAAGCAAAGAGACATTGACTCTTTCCTTCCTTGGAACATGACAAAGCCAGAGCCTTTCCTTCTCCCTCTCAGAAGATGATATCTGATCAGTGGTTATTTAATAAAAACTAACTATAATCTCTCTTCTTGATTGGGGACTAGAAAACTCTTACCCAAAGAGACCACGTTCCTATGGTTTTCAAGCATGACTTCCGAATGCAGAGCTTTCTGGTCAGGATCCAGCTGAGACCATTCCTCCTCAGAGAAATACACAGCCACCTCCTCGAAGGACACCAGACTCTCCTGAACGTGGAAAAAAAACAGGACAGGAGGATTCACAAGATCTGTTCATCTTCATCATTGATTTAGACAAGAGGATAGAAGGGGAACTCATCAAATTTGCCAACAAGACCAGATTGACAGGAATACCAACACTCCAGAAAATGCACTTGACATACAGAAGGATCGACAGATTGGGCCCCATCTAACAAAACGAAAGCAACAGTGAGAAACGTAAGGTTCTACATTTAGGAAAGAGCAACAAAATGCACTGGCATAGAATAGGTGATACCTGGCTCAAGAGTAAGTGCAACAGGGATTGTGGAGTCCTAGTAGACAACCACTTAAACCTGAGTCAGAGTCAGAGAAGAGGAACAAAAATTATTAGTGGACTGGAGGCTAAAACATATAAAGAACGGTTGCTGGAATTGGGGATGTCCAGTTTCATGAAAAGAAGGACTAGGGGAGACATGATAGCAGAGTTCCAAGAAGCAATGGATGGAAACTATTCAAGGAGAGAACCAACCTACAAGTAAAGAGAAATTTCCTGCCAGTGAAAACAATCAGTGGAATGACTTCCCTCCAGGAATTGTGGTTGCTCCAACACTGGAGGTGTTTATGAAGAAACTGGACAGCCGTTTATCTGAAATGTTATAGGGCTTCCTGTCTTAGCAGGGGGTTGGACTAGAAGACCTCCATGATCCCTACCAACACTGTTCTATTGCATTGTTCCCAAATTCCCAGAGCAGAGATATGCACTAAGTTAAAAGGCTGTGCGTCACGTAAGTCCTAATTTTAGGTGAGAAAATGGGAAAATCTGAAAATTGCTTTCACTGAAGAAATATTTGGGGAAGTTTTGTCAAGTTAATTGATTCTGCAAAACCTTCAGCGGCTTTCACTAAAGTAATTTTGATACCACCAACCATGTTATTATCCTGGGGCGGCTTCAGGGGATGGGAATGGGAGGCTTTGTATTTCCTGGTTCATTTCCTTCCTCTGTGACAGCTCTCAGTCAGTGTTGATAGGAGGGGGAGATATCCAGCCGTCGCCCACTGCTTTAGGGGCTCCGCAGGGCTTGGTACTCTCTCCTCTTCCATTCAACATTGATATGAAGACACTGGGTAAGATCATCCATCAACATGGACTGAGGTATCACCAATATGCTGATGATACTCAGCAGTATTCTCGGCCCATGGTGAGTTAAGTGATGCCATCTCCTCCCTCTCACAGTGCCTGAAGACTGTTAGGGACTGGATGGGGAGCACTGGGTTGAAACTAAACCCTTTCAAGGCAGAGTGGCTCTGGGTTTGGGGTTCGTTTGCTCAGGTAGAATTGCCACCTTAATCTTCGATGCAGTGGCACTACCCCAAACAGACCCTGTGCATAATCTAGGGGTTTTCCTGGATCCACGACTCCTGCTTGAAGAGCAGGTGGCAGTCGTGGCTAGGAGGACCTTTGCAAAACTTCGAGTTGTTTGCCAGTTACACCCTTTCCTGGACCAACAGTCCCTACTCACAGTCACTCCTACCCTAGTCACTTCCTCTCTTGACTATTGCAATGCGCTCCACATGGGGCTGCCCTTGAAGAGCATCTGGAGGCTCCAGTTGGTGGAAAATGCAGTAGCCCATATGGTTTTGTACAGACCCCGGTTTTTAAGGGTTTTTAAAAATGATAATGTGGCAAGTGTGAGTATTTATTTTTCATTAGCCTTGCACAATTGCGAGTCGAAGAATTACCAAAAAAAAAAAAAAAAAGGTTCCCTAGCAGTTCCTGCCACTGTGATACATTTATTCCTATTTCTTGAAGGACTTCTAAAAATTTGCTTCTTGTAAACTCAAAGTAGGAGGAGAGCCTAGCAGAACAAGATAAGCAGAGGAAGCTATGCTGGTCGACAGCAACTTCAACCTGCTATTCTGGTCTCCATGTTGCGGAAGAACATGAAAATAATCCCGGCCAGACAAGGGGGGAAAACAGAAGGACAGAGCCCTCTGCACACCTGCTTCACTTCCTCTTTTCCTCTTACTTTATTTGGAGGTTCAACCGCTGTTTGATTTCCATCATAAAAACCAGAAAGCTTCATTCTTTGTTTCTCTGTAAGGAATAAATAATTTCCAAATGCATAATTAACAAAATAGAAGGAGGTATTCTATAGGAAAGAAGAGAGAGCGAAGGGAAGACAGATGGGGAATCAGAGGATCTTCCATTACCTCTTGAGGTGTCCTGACTTTGATCTTCCCAAGGGATCCTCCTGAAAAATAGCTCCTGAGGGGGATTTGATGGGTTCTTCTTTCCCTCAGCATCTCTGATCTCCACAGTGCAGCACTTCAAGTAGGAGGAAGGAAGGAAGAAGCAGAATTAATGTACATCACATGACATAAAGTGGATTCTTATATTCGGAACACAACCTCAAAGCCCCCAATATCCATCCGTGTGGCTGAATGGGAAAACAATGGAACAATGTCCTACCAGAACTGGAGAACTGCCTCGTATTATGAACGTGGGAGAAGTTTGGGAAGGAGGGGGTGAAGCATTCAAGCCCTCTCTCTATTTATTCCCTTCTGAGCTCCCTGAAGTCTCCCACCTGCCACTGGAGCTGCTCCTCCGCCTGGCTCAGGAGGAAGCCTTCCGCCAGGGCCACCGCCTGGGAGCTGGTCTCTGCTCCACACTCCCGCACCCAGCCCTCCATCTCTGGGGGCAAGAGAGCCAGGAGCCGCTCCAGAACCACCAGGTCCAGCATCTGTGCTTTGCTGTGCTTTCCTGGTCTCAGCCATCGCCTGCACAAGTCATGGAGTCGGCTGCAAAGTCCTCGGGGACCCTCAGCCTCCTGGTATTGGAAGGAGGTCCAGGGTGGAACTTCTGAAAGGAGGAGGGTTCCCTCCTGCAGGACCTTTTGCCTGGTTCTGGTCCAGCTCTCCCCACAGCTCCCAGGCTGAACAGCTGCGGGGCCTTTTCCACTCCCCTCCTTGGCCAAAGGAGGTGTCTCCATCCTTTCTCTCTCCGACAGAGCAGCTCCAAAGGGCTCCAGGGGTCTCCAGGGGCCTCTTCCTTCACAGGACCATTTCTGGGGTTGCAGGACAGATCCCTGCCGGTCCTCCCCCCGCTCCCTCCCTTCCCTTCCCCGCAGAGGAAATCCTGGTTTGCCAAGGCTGCCGAGGGCTCGGCTGTTCCGGATCTGGGAGGGAGAGAAAAACCGAAGCCCAGGATCAGAAAGGGGGATTCAGCTGCTGGACCAGCTTCCCACAACCTGCACAGAGGCCCAAGCGGCTCCTCCCAGCACAGGGCCCAGAGCCTCCACCTCGAGCAGGGCCGGGAAGGAGACAGCTGGAGAGGCCGCCTCCTGCTTCTCTCCCCTTCCAGAGACAGGGGGGTGGGCCATCGGGGAGCCCGCTGCGAATCCTGCCTCCTCCTCCTCGCCCAGCTTCTCTCCTCTTATGAGGGCTGCTGGGGAGCATGGGACCCAGGAAGAGTTTACCCCTCACCCAGGGCACGTCTGGATGTCCCCCCTCTACACTGTCCCATATCCTGTCCGCCTCCTGCCGCGCCCCAGGGATTAAGGACAGCGATTGCGGCGTCGGCTCAGTTATGTCACTTCCTTCGCTGCCACCTCTGACAATGCAGCCGTGACGTTCGCCCTCCAGTGGCCGAATGGGGAAATGCCTGGAGTTCCCTTCCCTTGGGGGAAGGCACCCCCTGTTGGATTTGGGGCAAAGGGCCAGGATGGTAGAAACAGTGGGAAAGAGGAGCGCATGGGAGGGGAAAGGAGGTGGTGGGGATGATGGGCTTGGGAGTAGCGGGAAAGGCCCCTCTCCATGGCTCCCTGTTAGACAAAAGCTTCCACGTCTGTGCTTCTTTTCCCCTTTTTACATGAACCCAAATGCCTTAAAGGAGGTTTTCATCTTTCTTCTGTGGGGTTTCTAGAGCGGTTTTCTTATTTCTTATCTATAAAATGCAACTCCACCCTCCATCTCTTTCCTTAGGTCCATTTCTATATTTATTTAGAGGAGAGGAGAGAAGAGAGAAATCTTCTCTGTGGCAATCCCTCAGATATTGGAAGATGCCACCATGTCTCCCCTCATCCTTCTTTTCCTCAGACCAGACACACCCAGTTCCAGCAACCATTTTTTAAAATATCTTTTAGCTTCCATCTTGGTTGCTCTTCTCTACACTCTTTCTAGAGTACCAAGGTCTTATTTATTTTATTATAGAAAACAGAAAAATAGAAATAGGAAATTAAGGGAAGGAGAAAGAGGGGAAAAGAAAGTCTGAGGTACAAGAGAAAATAAAAGATGTTGATTCCTTTTTAGCACAGTGCAAGATTTTTAAAAAACCATTCCAGCGTGACAATTTCATCTAAAGCAGAGTCATTTTGGGTCTTTTTCTTTCGAACACTTTAAATGTGAAATTATGCCATTTAATGGCTGGAGAAGGAAAACCTACAAAGTGGCTGAAGGAGGGAAGGGCCCCGCCTGAGGGGATCTGCGCTCTGATTGGTTGTTGAGGGTGGAAAGGGGGCGTTTCCGTCCCCCCCCCCCCCCGCCTTTACTTCTCTGGGTTGCTTGAGATTTACCTCAGGATGTTTCTTTCTTTCAAGGAGAGGAATTGCCTTTTTCTCCCCTGAAGTAAAGCGGTGCCTTTCCCTGGTTTAGCTGAGGGTTTCCCAGGGCTTCCCTTTGGATTTTGTCCTTCCCCCCTTATCATCCAGTGCAGCAGCTCTTCGTACAGCACCAATCTTCACATTTAATGAACGTGTGTGTGTGTGTGTGTGTGTGTGTGTGTGTGTGTGTGAGAGAGAGAGAGAGAGAGAGAGAGAGAGAGAGAGAAATGTGTGTCGAAGAAGAGGAGATGTTTTTCTCGGACTTTTGAGCTGGCGGGGGGAGGGCAGAACGAGGTGAAGCACCAATGGGAATTCTCCTTGATGCAGTCATCAGTCAAGGCCAGAATTGTTTGTGACCTGAAGAAGGCGGCGAGCGTCGGGCGCAGAGAACGAAGATGAAAGTGGACGGGGGGGGGGGGATCCCTTCAGTCTTAGGGGCTGCAGCTCAAGAGGGGCGGGTTTCATGGCAGGCCCTGCGGGGACCCTCCACTCACTTTCTTCACGATTCTCAACTAGACTTTCTTCTGTGGGCATGCAGGGGTGAACTAGGTGTCAGCTTATTGTTCCCAAACTGTCCCAGGTTTTCCTCCCAGGGAGTTCAACGAAGTAGAAGGGAGGGAAGGACGGAAGAACGGAACAGCATGGAAGAGAAGAACAGAGTTGGGAGGGACCTTTGAGGTCTTCTACTCCAACCCCCTAGTCAGAGGCAGGAAACCCTTATTCCATTTCAGACCATCTCTGACAGATTAACAGAGCTGGAGGTCATCTAGTCCAACCCCACCCACCCCCCAAAGCAGGAGACTCTGCACCCTTTCTGACAGAGGGCAGTCCAGGCTCTTCTTGAAAGCTCCCACAACTTCCGATGGCAACTCCTGTTCGCCTTCGCTCCGGCGGCCCCTTTGCCAGGAAGGGAGCCAAAGATTCCGGGAGGGAGGAGACCGGCCCCACATGATTGTGGGGGGCACTTCCACCCAGGAATAGTGTGGGGCCGAGGAAAGGAAGGGGGTGGCCGGGAGAAGTGCCCCCCCTTGGCGGGCTGGAGGGTGGAGGGGCCTGGGCCGGCTCTGGCAGCGGGACACTCTTGGGCACCCCCAGCCGCCTTGGAAACGCGCCGCCCCTTCCAGGCAGCCCCGGGCAGTGATGGGGGCTTCATGCGGGTAGCTTCCCCTCCCTCCCCTCAGCAAGCCTGGCCTGGAGGAGCAGGGAGAGTGACGGGCCGAATGGCGGAGGGTCAGAAGGCGCGCTCCGACGTGGCCCCAACACGCGTTCCCAGCGAGTCCCCTCTGTCCCGAAGTGGGGTTGAACGGGGAGGGGAGCTTGGAGGAGAAGCCCGGCTGGCTTTCCTTTGGTGGGAGCGGGTGGTGGTGTTGCAGACCCAATAAAACTCCAATTCTTTCCCACAATCACTGGGAGACAGAAAAGCCCGGCGGTCCAGAGTCCCAAAAGGGGGGATGGGGAGGGTCTGTTCGTGGAAGGGTCGGGGAGGGAAGCTGAGCGGGAGGCTCTTCCGAGACGGTCTCTCCTCCCGCCCCCCCCTCCCCAGACTCCCCCCTCCCGGCTTCCTTCCCTTGCCTGGTTTGGAAGGGGGAGGGGCAGGAAGGGGGGGACCCCCGTTGCTGAAGGACTGAGAGGGGGGGAGCGGAGAGAGAAAGACGGGCTCTTTGCCTCCCCAGCCGCTCCGGAGCCTCTTCCGAGGGAAGCGAAGGGCCCCCGCTGCCCTTGGGAGGAGGCAGCAAAGGCAGAAGGCGCCGCAGCTCCAGTCTTGGAGCTCCCCGTCCCCCGCAGTCCGGAGGAGACTCTCTCCCCCCATTTCCTGGTTCGCTCTCTGAATCCTGTTTTTATTTTTTATTTCCTGGGGAGGGGAAGGAGAGACACTCCGCAAAATGGGGGCTTCAATCTGGCACCGGTGCAAAGTCCTGATTATTAAAGGCGGGGATGGGGAACAGATGTCCTTCCTTTCCCAAGGACCCCGAGAGGGAGAGGGAGAGGGAGAGGGAGAGAGAGAGAGAGAGAGAGAGAGAGAGGGGGGGAAGGTGGACAGAACAGAGAGAGAGTAAATGACAGCCTGGGAGAATTTCAGCCACAAAGAACAGCTGCGGTTACTTTTGCTGAGAGCTTCAAAGAGAAACAGGATTTTTAATGAATATGACCAATAACGAGCCATAATATGCAGAATTAAAGGAAGGAAGGAAGGAAGGAAGGAAGGAAGGAAGGAAGGAAGGAAGGAAGGAAGGAAGGAAGGAAGGAAGG